CCCCGGGATCCGCAGTCACTCGACAGCGAGAACGCTGCTAAATCTTTTTTCTGGCAGCCTGCGTGCGTGGGGCTGGGGGGCGGGGAAGGTGCTCACCATTAGCTCTGTAAAAATGGAGGAGAACAATGAGTGGGTTAACCGGGTGCGCTGCGTAGCAGCCGAGGTCCGTGTCCGCGTCACCCGATACCTTACTTTACTGTCTCGGCCTGTCTTTTCGACGGAGCCTTGCTCCGTTCTTTTCCTTTGCGTGAGAGAAAAGCGATGCTTCTCACTCTTCTGCCCTCCTGTGTAACCATCCTGTGGAAAAAACGTCACTTGGAAAACAAGGTCATCTTGTGGCTAAACTTTTCTTCCTCATCCCTAGGTCCCTTCGGAGTGCCTGTGGAAAACTTCTAGCTTTACAATTAGTAATACTAATTGGGAAAAAGAAATGACAAATCAAATTAATTTTTTTGGGGGGGTGTTCCTTTTTGTTAAACGTTTTGCATATGTTCTTTCTTTCCATCCCCACTGGAGAGGTCTGTCCTAGATTTACTGCCCAGGGGTACTGCATGCAAAATAACTTGGACTCCCCTGTAAATCTAAGGGCAAGGGGGAGCAGTTACACCACATGCTTTCCCTGCAGGCTAGCACCATTTTTTATCCTGGGAGGGGCCCTCAACTGGTCTTGCAAAAGTTCCTGGAAGTCAGTATTTGGGTGCATTTGTCCAAGCTGGTTTGGGGACCCCTGGCAGGTTGAGCATGCAGCAAGTCAATGGTGAAGTCCATGCAGTTCTGTGGTTTATGATGAGGACCGCAGAGGGCTCTGTAGGTCAGGAGCGAGACAAGCTGTAAACTGAGGATTAACATGGCAGATTGTACAGCAAATCATGATAGATGCGCCTGGAGGAGCCATGTGGGGAGCCCAGGACCAAAGCCGGTCTGGCAAGAGGTAAAAGAGGTCAAGACGGGGGCACATCAGCAGATCTTTATGGAGAAAGCCAGGACTGGAATAACAAGGTGTTCCCGTAGTTAAGGATAAATGAAAACAACACATGGCGAGGCCCAGATGTGAATTGTCAGGGGTAGCCTGTTGTCAGAGTGGTGTACGGAGCAAATGAATGCAGCAGACAACTGTTCTTTACATCGCTTCTGTCTCTGCCCTTCCTGACAGCAGGATCCTTGAAGATGACGTCCATTTGGCTGCCTACACTGCAGTGCCCTGATGCATCTCAGCATTCTGCTGAGATTATACTGTTGGCATGGTCCCATGTTACCACAGTCACCACACAGCAACAGCAGACGTACAGATAATCTTTATCTGCTCTTCGGATTTTCTTTGTAGTTTTGCTTCTGTGTGTGAAGGGTTTAGTGCTTCAGAAGAGATACCTGTGTTTATCACGCAAACTGACTACAGTTGATAGATTAACAGAGCACCTCCATTCCTTCCCTGCCTCTTTGTGAGAGGGAGGTCTCTCTTAAGCTCAGTGATGATCCGATTCAAATCTTTCCTAGGGGCCTCGAAGCCCCAGCAGTCTCTCCTCTTCCTCACAGGCATGACTTCTTTTCCTTTATTATCTAATGACCAAGCCACCCCTTTTGAGCTGGGGTGGTCACATCAGTGCTGCTAGCTAGCAGTTCCGCTTGTCAGTAATTTTTGAAATTGGAGGCAAGAACTAACACAGTCTGTCTGAGACAGTGCAAATGCCTTGTACTAGTTGAGGTGCTTGAAGTTCTTGAAGTAGCAGAGACGACCACGTTTCTATTTTGAAAACAAACTTAGAATTTTCAGGGATTTCGGCTGTGTTGGCAGCATCCAAATGGAGCACAGCGAAGGGATGTCCAAGCTAGCCCCTCTGCCACTAAGCTCATCATCGTAGCTTTTTTTCTCTGGTGTAGCGTCTCATTGATGTGACACCACCATTTTGCTTCCAAAGAAGAAAAAGGCTTTGACCAGAGCTGTTCAGCCTTTTCTGTTACACAACAGGTAGAGTTGCTGATTTGGGTTGCTAAAGAGCTAAGGGATCATGAAGCCCTTAGAAATTAGTCCCGGGGTGTCTCACATGGAGTATTTACCATTACAGGGTCTAATGGAGTTAAAAAGTTGAGGACGTTCAGGAAATCCAGCTTCTTGTTTAGATGGTCAAAATGGCTTCTGCAGAACAGCAAGCCACATAGATTGAATCATGTAATATATCTCTTACCAGTTCAAAAATATGTATCACAAAAAAAAAAAAAATTCAAAAACTGCCTTCAGGTTTTTTCTGCACAAACCCATTAGTTCCATGGAAACATACCTCCAGCCTTTGGAAAGGTTTCCAAGGCTTTTCATGGAAGGAGATGAAGTCACTTTGGAATACTTCCTGCTTCTGAGGTAAACATTTTGCCTAGCTCTGGTAACAAAAATTTTCCTGTAGCAGAAGATCTCTTTGTCTCTGACCTTAAAACTGCCGAGCTTCATATTTTTATATGTCGTAATGACAGTAGAATATAATGAGGATTAGTATTTTGTGCCAAAGGTCTCTGTGGGTCCAGTTGCCCAGAGGTAGCCTGTTTTTTAATTATTAGATATTAATACGAATAAGGAAATGTCCATAACTATATGAAGCAGGGAAAATAACCTGAATTTCAAAGTAGAAGATCACTACTGAAGAACTGGGGATGGAAAAAAAAAACAATATATATTCCCCAATGAGCTGCAGTTTCTCTTTCTTTGCTTCATTCTAGAGCACTTGGTGAATGTAGAAATTAGGATGTGGGACTACTGGGATTAGGGCTGATTTTGTGCTAGGCAGTTTGGAACTGTAACCTGGAAACAGTTCGACTTACTTGTGTTACTTCTCGTGTTCATGTATTAGCCTCCTGGCAGCTCCTTCATACAAAATTAACCTGCACTGGGACCATCAAGGTGACCTGATTTTTATTTTTTTTCTTGGCTATTATGGTTTATTTTTATGTCTGTTCCAGTCTCCATTTTTTACTCCCTGTGCTTACTGCTTCAGTCTTGGGCTCCCAGCACAGCTATTGCCAGTGATTTTAAGTCTTCTTCTCATCTGTCCTTTCATGTTGTGTATTTGATTAAATGAATTTCTAAAGGCCTGGTAGCACCATCTCGCTCAAAGGGTAATATCCTTTTCCAATGACGCTTTTTGGTCCATTTTGTTTTATGATACTCAGGAGTTGTTTCTTGCTTTCTCTCACTCTCTCTCTCCAGGTAATTGTGGAAAAAGCACCAAAAGCCAGAGTACCTGACCTAGACAAAAGGAAGTATCTTGTGCCTTCTGACCTCACAGGTAACAAAGTCTACCTCCTTCCTGATTTTCAGTGAGAAGGTCTTGGAAGTGCTTTTTACTCTATGATCAGCACCAAGAAAATATCCAGGCAGGCTCAACATCTTATCATTACCTCAGTTTACCTGGCTGTCCTTGTTATATTCATGCACCTTATAGCCCAGATTACAACATGCAGAATTCTCTGAGATCCTCTGAGGTATTCCAGTGACTTAGCTAACATGCATGTGTCACAGCTGACTTCTAGCCATGATGAAAATGACTGAATTGTGTATCATAGGCAGTAGCATAATCATCAGTCAATGATGACCTAGCTGCAGAGTTGCCAGAGGCTGTATCCTTGTTGCAGGAACATACAAGTTCTTGAAATAGTCCCATTGTTTTCCACCCCTGTGGTTGGAGTCATGGCTACAAAGTTCCTTTTCCGAATCGTTCATGGCTATTTTGTGTGTGATTACATTTGTTTTCATTTGAAAACACGAATATTTTAAGGAACAGTATTTATTTTTCTTACACTATATAATAGATTGCGGAATACTTTCTTGTGCGACATAGCTCAAGCAAATAGTAAGGAATTCGTTTTCAGGAATGGTGTGACCATTTACACCAAGGCTAAATTCTCCAAGGTGTCTTTGATCTATAGGACTTAAAGGTTAAGGTAGTTAGAGGTCCTCCCACCGATTGCTGCAGTAGAGCATTTCATACCATAGTAGGTAGAGTGGATTTAGAGGGTACATGGCCTGAGGCATGTACCCAAGAAACTGCCAAGTCCGAGTGGATTGGCTGCTAATGTGGTTACAAACATGGAGTTGCTGCTTTCTTTCCTGCACTGTTCATTTTTCCCTACTTTTTACATACAGCATGTGACGACTTCCACCACCAAAAGAAAACAGCCGTGATTAGGGTAAAAAAAGGAAACAAAAAACTCCAAAACATTCTTTCTGCATCTAAGGCATTCTCCTCTCTTCCTCTTCAGTTGGCCAGTTTTACTTCTTAATCCGAAAGCGGATCCACCTGAGGCCAGAAGATGCCCTGTTCTTCTTTGTCAATAATACCATCCCTCCCACCAGTGCTACCATGGGCCAGCTGTATGAGGTAAGCCTGGCCCATCACTTTTTCCTCTTTTTGGAGTGTCTAGAAGAATGCGTATCCTCACTGAAGGACAACTGGCAGTGGGTGCAGCTTGGTCACAGATGTCTGACCAGGAACCCCCTTGACCTCGGCTGTATCCCATCATCTGTTCAGGGAAGTTCCATCCTGCTGTTATAAAGAGGAGCACGGGGGGCCTCATCATTTTGTTTGTTTGCTAGTTGAAAGGGTTGTCATATCAGGTTGTGAATGGTTGCCCCAGCAGTGATATGTTGGTCCTACTACTTTTCACAAAGTACTGAAATAAACTACATATATATTTCAGAGGAAATACTGTGTCTGGGGTGGGAGGCGGAACATACGCACTGGCTTTCCTGTTTATACAAAAGAGATTACCTTTTAGCCAGTAAAAGAATACAGTATCGCTGCGCAACCAACCACCTATAAATACATTGTCAAGGAACACTTAGTCTTTGTTCACAATTACTTCTTCATAGCTTGTACTGAATATGCAAAGGATCTTGTAGGGCACTGTGAACATTGCTGCCCAGCATTTCTACTGAGCAGTGTTATTCGATTGACCTTAAGGGCATATTCTATGCCCATCAGAGGAACGTTCCTCAATTATATAGCCACTATATCATGGCTGGTTTGCAGCCTGGATTGATTTCTCCTTCTGCTGCATTAGTGTGTTTTAACAGGAGAGCTCCGGTATGGTGCTGTGAGCCTTATTTGGCCTATCATTTTTTGACAATAACTGGACAATGTGTATGTGGACTGATGAAAATAATATAAGATTAACACACGGAGGGAGTTTTCCAAATCTGGATGTGTAGGAGGAAGGTATGCCTAACTGTCCAGAGCTGAGAGCAGGACTCTGTTCCTGTCCTTCTGCAGACTTTTTGTGTCAGTGCAATCACTTAGCATCTCAGCTGTACTGCCCATGTGTAAAACAGGACTAGAAATAACAGCCACTTGTCAAAGTGTTCTGAAAAATTACAAATATAACCACATTTACCAAATAATGAAGTATCGAGAGGCAGTTTTTGACTTCTTCAAGCCTTCCAAGTCTCTCCTCTCAAGGCCATACCAGTGTTGGGATTCTGCTGCACAGCCTGCAACAGTCAGAGTGGTTTCTGTTGCACATTTGTAGCACGCTCTGGCTTCAAGTAAATTCACTGTGTCCAGCAATGTGACATGCCTGAATTTAGAAGCAGAACTGTGGCCAGAGAGAGGAAGTTGCTCTTTGGTATGAGGAAGCGAAGCCTTTGATGCAAAGGGGGAGAAACAGTGAAAGAGAGGTTATGCCCTCTTGTTGTTATAGTCATAGAATCATAGAATGTTTTGGGTTGGAAGGGACCCCTAGAGGCCATCTAGTCCAACCCCCCTGCAGTGAGCAGGGACACTGACAATGATCTCTTGGTTGGGCTTTTTCACATGTAATGAGTTACAGGGCTTTGGTTTGCTATTTTCTCCATTTCTCCCCCTGCAGGATAACCACGAGGAGGACTATTTTCTCTATGTGGCCTACAGCGATGAGAGCGTCTATGGCAAGTGAGCACCAGCCCCCCAGGCATGCAGGCGAGATGGACTGATGGAAAGGATTTGGGAGGGGGGGGATGTTGGAGAGGAGGAAAGAGAATGCCTGAGAAGAGGGGAAGAGAACTGGAAGTGAACCACATGCACAATGCCATCACCTTCCATGCATTAATTATAACCATTATTTTTTAAATTGAGGGGAGGGAGGGTAGGGGACAGTGTATGAGAGGGTGAACTGAAAGGCTACCGAGGGGTTCTGCGCTGAGGGATGGGGAGACTCCACTGTTCGTAGTTCTTCTCTTGCCACAGCTGGAAGTTGTTAGCCAGTACTGGAGGCTGCTAGACCAGCTGGCGTGGTGGAGCTGCAGGAGAGTGACTGGGCATGATGGGCATTTTTGTGTCACCCTTTCATTGGATGAAGAAGGCATGCCATGTATTGTACACTGACCTTGTCACGCCTTGCCTGTGGCATGGGCTGCACTGCTGTGAGCATTCAGTGAGCTGTGAAATACTTCACTCTGCCCACACAAGGCTGTCCTGTGCTGATAGTCCTCACTCCAGCTGCTACCTGTGAAGCGTTTCAAGAGTATTGTGTTTCCCGTCACTTCCATCAGTATTAGAAGGGCTGACTCTGAGGGCTGGGAACTCCTCAGCTGTAAGACGTGAAGGTTGGAGAAAAGAAGGAGGAAGGATTTTTTTTTTTTTTTCCTTTGTTGCTTTAATTGCAAGTGCTGGACAGAAAAATTTGAGACCACCCTTTTGTTCTTTTCAGTGAAGCCAACTGATAAACTCAAGCATAGGGCTAGAAAGGACCTCAAGAGAATGAGTAGCCCACTCCAGCTCTGAGACAGGACTGAGTGTACCAAAAATGTCTACCGTGGCTGCTCTTCTAACTTGTTCATGGTGAACTTCACTGAGGCAGATCCTGGAGGCTGCTGAGATTGTCTGTTCAGTTCCTAGCTAGCCTTCAAGCGAGAGAGCTTTTCTTGCTACCTAAGTTTAGTCTCCCTTGCTGTGCATTGAGGCAACTAGCTACTAACGGTCTTGTTATTGATGAACACAGAAAATTATCTATCAGTGGTTGTCTTTGTACCAATCTCCTGCAGAATTGATGATGGCAGAAGTCCTGTGGGTTTAGCCTTCCCTTCCATGTCTCGTCCTTGTACAGCTCTTGCACCACATGCACAAGCGGAAGAAATCAGTCACTCCCACGTGTTTTGCTGCCTTCTTGTGATTGGACAACAGTGCCACTCTTCGCCACAAGAGAGGTGCTCTTAGGCTTGAAGGGGAAGGGGAATAGATTCTCTGTTGATTTTTTTTTTAATTATTTTATTTTAAAATGTTGTTCTTAGAAAGGTGCCAGGTAGATGCTGTCCTGTGCAAGCCTTATGCTGTCATGCCAAAGCAGTTTCTTCCCACTGGCACAAAGAGCAAATTTTCCCATAACTGCCATAACTCTAATGAAGGGATGGGGTTTGGGGAGTGAGCTTTCAGGAAAATTCTGGGGTTTTATCTAAAAATCAGAGAACTGGACCTGAATTTCTGTAAACATTCCTACATTTAAGGGAGGGACCAAGAGGGAGGAAAAGACAAGAAGGATGAAGAAGACTGGCAGATTCCAAAATAAGTTGAGGGTGTTTGCTCTATTTAGATGAAGTTGGAATCCAGTTCTCTGCATTCCTCAGGAATGAAAAACCAGATGAGTGCTCCTCTGATTGCAGGAGATGGAAAATCAGGTTTCAGCCTTCTCTGACTGTTCTTCCACAGAGGTACACAAGGCAGAAGAGCAGGCTGGGAGTGTGACGTGGGAGTCACTGGCAGAACTGTGTGAAGGTCAGGAAAGGCAGCGTAGTGGGGCAGCAGAGTCACTGCCTGTGTGGTATGGGAAGTAGCAGAAGAATGGGAGAGAAGGGAGGGAGTTAAAGGTTGTAGACAGAGGAGCTGTAACGAGCAGACAGGAAATGGGGGAACAAAGGATGAAATGAGTGGGTTAGTATTCCCCAGTTTTTCATCCTGAACTTCAGGTTTGCTGTTCCATCATGTGCTCGTCTGGAATAAATGCGTTTGGATGAGTTGTGCCTACTGTCAACTTGGATAACTTCAGTTTCTGCCTGCAGTGCTCAGTCCTCTCTTTTTCGCCCACTCTCCTCCAATTATCAGGCTCTTTTTACATCCTTTGGGTGCAAATCTGCATCAGTCTCTTGTTTTAGGAAGCTCTGAGTGTTCTGAAGCAGAGAACAGACCCAGGAGGCTTTCTAGGGTAAAAGACAAGATGCTGGCAGATGGTGTACATCTCTCTGCCACTGTCCCACTTGCTCACGCGCATGCTGCCAAGCATGTGCTTGTGTGCTGTCTCAAATGAGCCTGTGCTTAGGCATGCTCAGGGGAGAAAGAGTTGGCATCTGGGGTGCTTGATTTTGTGTTCAGACCTCCCCTCCCGCTGCTGGGTTTGTAAGTGACGTGTGTGGGACTAATCTCAGCCGTTTGTTACATGTAGAGTTTACAGTTTAATTTAGTTATTTTATGGTTCTTTTAACTGGATTGTGGCATTTACTTCTGTTTTTGCGCTAGTCTGGTATTGTATGAGGTAATGATGGTAGCTCTTTTTTGTGTTGGTTAGCTGCAGGTTCTTGTAAAATAAAGTTCATACTACTTGAGCTGAATCAACCAATCAATAAAGACGCATTTGAAAATCACAGGCTTGGTCAAAAGTGGGTGACTGTAGTGTTTCTCCCCACGTGTGCTTGTAAATAAAGGGGCAGCTTTGTCAGAACTTCTTGCTGCTGCTTTTTCTCAGAACCTCAGAGTTCCTCTGTCCTCTCTACCAGGGCAAGTCACATCTCTCCTCCTTTTGGTTATGTTGGCACTCACACACCCGGCTGTGTCTTGCCATGCCAACAACGTGAACTTTACTTAGACCTGGATGACATGAGAAGGTCTTAAGGAAGGTAATGGATACACTGAGGCATTCTCTGCCATTTTAAGGCCCTCAACAGTCTAGCTGCCCCGAGGGCACCACCAGCCCTGACTGTCCCTGCCCAGCCCCCCAGGGCCCTGCCATGGGCCACAGCAATGCCGCAGCAGGGCTGGTCTCCAGCTCCCACAGTCATGCCCTGCCTGGCCATGAGCCACGCCAAGCCAGGCCCACAGGGCCCAGGCTCAGCCCATCCCCATCCCTGCAGCCCTGCCATCGCTGGGCCTGATCCTGACCCTAACCCACAGATGGGATTCCCATCTAGACCCACCTCATCACCGTGATGAGCCTTATGGTTGGAGCTTGTGGCTGGGCCTGGCCACCATCCCTGGGCCTGCCTCACTCCCCACATTAGGTGCTGTAGGATGGGTCCGTGGTGCCCCGTGGCCATGTCCCTCAGGGAGCCATTAGCCCTTACTGTCTGGTGGCAGCTCAGGCTGAGGTGGGACTCCCAGCCCTGGGCAGAGGGTGTGGAGGAGGCCCCTCCGTGCCTCAGGGCCCTCTAAAGATAGCAAAAGCCGACATAAGGAAACCTAAGCCTGGTTTAAAAGTAAGCCTGCAGTGGTGGCAGATTGAGGCTGCTTTTCCTTGCAGATACTTGTGCACTGAGAGGGAAGGAGCCACGCTGGGAGCTGGCGAGACCAGCAGCACCATTTGCTCAGCGCCGTAATGCCGTGTCAGGCACCAGCGGCACATGAGGAGGAAAGGGACGCATGATGTTATCTGGGGAAGCAGCGAGAGACGTTCCGCCGCTTCTGCCTCCTCATCCCTCCTCGTCACCTGTGGGTTTGTGCGGGTGCCGCTGGCTGGAGAGGCAGAAATGGGCCATGCCGATCCTGCAGAGGAGCGACCATCAAGCTCTTGCCCTGCCACGGACAGAGAGAGATGCTTGGAGCGCTGAAGTCAGGATTTAACAGCACTGGCACTCATAGGAATAAAACTTGCTGGGCTGGGCCCAATGGATCTCTTCCCCCCTGCATAATAGGCTGGAGCCACAGCGTGAGTTTTCTTTGCTAGTGCTGAGGGAGGGGCAGTAACTCATCCTGCACCGTGTAAACTCGGAGCCTACCTGTAGCAGCAGTTTCTGTGCTCATATCCACCATCGTGACTAAAACAAGCTCCCCCTGTATGGCAGAAGGGTGCTGTGACTCCAGCCAGGTGGGCAGAGATCAGCTGAAAGCTTACACTATCAGCTGAAATAATTTGAATTTCAGCTTCAAGCACAGCGCACGTTTTGCTGCCTAGGTTGTGGTATTGTCTGCTGGCTCAAGTAGAAAACGGCTATAGAGTTGTATCCACACCCAAGCAGGCCTCTCACCCCCCCTCTCACCCCTTTCCTAGGAAAATGGCACATAAGTGATGTTTGTACCTGCCACGCTACTTTGCCTGTGCATGTCAGTGCCATCACTGAGAGAAACAGCAGGCGGGGGTGCATTTGCTGAATATGGTTTGCCTGGTCCATATGTGCAATGTTAGCCTGTGCTCAAAGGCTGTCACCTTTATTCTGTGGGTTGTGGAAATGGGACTGGAGCAAGGCCTGCAGGAAAACTAGGGGCTCAGCTGGTTAAGAGAGGTTAAGTAATTAATACTCTGCCTTGGTCACTGTCACGGCACCCGGGATCCTCTCTCCGGTCATCCTGATGCTTGCTTTGGAAGAAAACATTCTCCTGGAGCAGAGCGTACCTGAGGAAAAGATGGCCTGGGGCACCACAACATCACCATGAAGGATACATGGACTAACATAACAGGTCCCAAATTATGCCAAAGGAAGACTGATATTTTCACTTCCATAAAACAGTTGTGTCTGAGATGACACTGATTAAAACAGAAATAAGACTACCGGAGGGAGGAACTGCAGCTCATTCCTGTCTCTCAGTCTTGGATAAATGCTCCCCCAGGATGAGCCATAGAGTGTGTGACTGGAGAGCTCGTTGCTGGCAGGGCACTCGCAGGACTGACCCAGGCAGAGCGTGACTGACCATGAACAGCAGCTGCCCCAGCTTGCGCTGCCAATTTTTAGGAGGATGTTGCAAGTGCCATGGTATTTGTGTTCCTGGAAGCTTGCATGTGTCCCAAAGCACAGCTCATGCCTGGGTTACA